ATTAAATTTAAATTTTGATAGGACAGAAGTTAGGGAAAAAAACCCTGCACATGGGCACTCTAGTTCAGACTCACCTAACAGAGTTAAAGTTCTGCTTAACTTACGTGAAAGATTTAGGTTTCTTACCCTCTTTCATAGAAAATACTCTTCTCCTAAACCAGGATCATGCATTGATTTCTTTTCACACTTTCACCACACTCCATTTGCTTTGAAGGCAAATTTACTCTTAAAATTTTTTTAATGACTATGTCATTGTTAGATATATTTTAAAAGACCGGAAGGTTTGAGTTTTTAAGTACTCCAGCTCTGTTTTAAATGAATCACTGCACAAAAGAATGAACAGAAAGCAAGGACTTTGCTGCACTTCATCCAAAGTGCACTTTTTTAAACGACAAAGCCCTGTTGCTTTAGGAATGGAGCATGCTGTTATTTTTCTGGAAGTTTTTTTTGTGCGGGGGTGTGTGTAGCTGTGATGTATATGTTATTTTGAACTGCAGAAATATGTTGCACCGAAGCATCTACCTAGTCTTTCTTCAGGTATCCTGGCAGTTTCCTGCTATGCAAGTGACTGCTAAAAAGAAGGCTCAGATCCTATGGCCTCAAGCTGCGTCAGGGGAGGTTTAGATTGGATATTAGGAAAAAATTTCTTCATGGAAAGGGTAGTCAAGCATTGGAACAGGCTGCCCAGAGAGGTGGTGGAGTCCCCATCCCTGGAAGTGTTCAAAAAAATGGGTAGACATGGCACTGTGGGACATGGTTTAGTGGGCATGGTGGGGTTGGGTTGATGCCCAAGGATCTTAGAGGTCCTTTCCAACCTTAGTGATTCCTAGTTTTTACTTGCATTAAAAAATAATCCAGCCACCAAGCCAGCAAACGCATAATTGCTACTCTCTCCTTAACTGGTTTAGTGGTGGACTTGGTAGCGTTAGGTTAATGGTTGGACTGGATGATCTTAAAGGTCTTTTCCAACCTAAATGATTCTAGGATTCTATCCTGCCTCCCCACCGCCGCCTCCCAGGAAAGCTTTTGGGGTAAACCCAGAGGCAGTCTTAGTGCAGCCTCATCTACTAGACACATTCTCTTTAACAATTTAAAGCTCTGTCAGTCAGTACTAATAAAAAACACTCCTCTATACACTGTGTCAGAAACCAAACCTCCTCCCTTCCACTTCGTTCCCAGTCCTCCTCCTTAGCCTGAGTTGCGAGATGTTTGGTGACAGCTCGCGTGGATGTAACTGGCTAGGTAAGACACTCTACTCTGCATTATAGGGCTTTGCTATTTTATTATCGTTACTATTTTTTAAGAAGCAACACAGCAAGAGATATATGAGTATTTCTTAAGTTACACAGCTGTTTTGTATGGCAGATAAGGCTTAAGAGTCTAATTGTTACTGTTCAGCAACAAAAAAACTGCATCAGGGAAAGAAGCAATAAAAAAAAAAAGCTCACTCAAACATAAAAAAAAGCACCCCAAAAACACAACCCCAAATCAGGGGAAAAAAAAAAAAAAGCCACTTGAAACGTATAGTCGTACGCAAGGCAGAAAGGAACTCTGGAAAAACGTCTGTAGCCTATAGGAAGGCAATGACTCCTTAACTGCAGTAATTCATTGCATTCGAAGCAAGAAGGTGCTGCTCCTGTAACGCATTACACCAATTACAAGGGTTTGACCGAACAGGCTCCCTACAAAACATGTAGAATATAGGAAGTTTGGAAAACTGCTTCCCCTAACTCCAGGCACAAGCTCAATGACTTGACTCCCCATGTTTTAAAGCAGTTTTTCCTCACTTCTGCATAGCTCCTTCGCAATCTTAAGGAACAGAAAGACCAGAGACAGACAACGAAAGCTTGGAATGTGGTGTTTATTCAGTTGTTTTTTGAAGTTCTCAATCTTAACTATATTAAATATAAACATTTTACTCGCTTCATAGAAAGCTCTTCATAGCACAATTTGTTTTTATTGCATAATTAAATCAAAGTTCTATTTTCCTTTGTAAACGAGTTGGTGTGGTAATTTAAAAACTGGTTATACTAAGTACTCGGCTTCTGCAACCTTCTCAGATTCATGACATCCCTCACCGCAGGAAAACCAGAGAAATGGGAGAAGGTAGGTTATGGGTTGCTTATCCTGGGGCTTTTGAGAGTATTTTTCTGCTCACCGTTACTGTTGGCCGCTACAAAACCTAAAGCAACGTGTGCAGTAAGGGTTCATCCGCATTCGGCAATTTTGTGTGGCAGAGCAATTGGCTTTTTAGTCAGAGGGGCAGAGAGGACAAATGCTTTCATGCTCAGCTAGATGGAAAAAAAAATGGGCAGGGGGGAGCATTATACATGACCAATTGTTTGGAGAAATACAACGGCTTTATTTTGAGGCCTTCCGCTGCAAAGGAGGATGGTGCTAAGGAACAGCAGACCTTATTTTTTTAAAAATATTTTTCACATAATGTGCTAGAAAATACCTACCTCTTTCACACATGCCTCATGAACAAGATTAAATCTTACTTTCACAAACCATCCTATTTGAATACTCACAAGTAGGTATTTTACTTGTAAAAATAAGACAAAGGCCAAAGTACAACATCAATATTATTGCTGCAACATTCATTACAGATTATGACAGTTCAAAGTGTTTACCTTGTCTTAGAAACTGCAGACTTTAAACAAAGTTCAAAAAAAACCCCCAGACTACATCTCTCTCATATTTTCACATGATCACTGAAAAATATCTAAAGAGCTGTAGAGA